ATTCCCTGTATTTTGCAATTTCATTAAGATAAAGTATGTGGGAAGTATTGTATTATTATTTTTCAGAGAATGATGCCGGTTCCCAAAATTATTCAAGATATTTACAATGTTAAAACTACGCAGCATGGTCAAAGTAGGAAGGTAATGTTAATATAGGCCGAGGGGAAGTGAAAGCAGAAAACAAAACAAACAAACAAAATATAAACAAACAACTCAACAGGTCCTCAGAGACCTGTGAAAAATGACAGAGTCAAAGCCATGCACCCAGCAAAAAGAGGTCAGAGTTAAGATCCAAATAACAATCTAAAATAAACAGAAAATATTTTTCTTAATTATTCAAATCTGAAGAAACTATTCCGAATGAGGCTATTTAAAACTTTAAAGAATATTTATATACCATCATGCTTGGTAGTGTAGAGGGAAGGCCCTCTGTGAGGTGGATTGATACAGTGACTGGGATAATCAGGATGGGAGTGTCAGAGGCAGTGCGATTGGCACAGGACAGAGCAGAGTTTAGGGCTGTTGTACATAGGGTCGCTATGAGTTGCAAGCGACTTGATGGCACATAACAACAACAACATAGTGTTGTTCTGAGTTTGAAATTATTTGATAGCAAAGGCTTTGGTTTTGATGTCTTTTTCATAGCCTATAAATGTTCTATAACAAATATGTCTACATTTAAAAGATAATAGAGATTTCGACATCTCTGCTGTTTAAGTTATCCTGAGTAGTGTGCTGTATTGTAATTGATAGCATTGTTGGTGTTAACTGCTGAAGAGTCACGTTAGATTCCTAACAACTGAACCTTGTCCTATCCTGAGCCATCTGCTTTCTCTCTAACACACTTGAGCCTATTGCTGCAGTCACTGTGTCAATCTACCTGAGAAAATCTTCCTCTCTTTCACTGACTCTTTCACTGACCCTCCAGCTTTTCAAGCACAACATCCCTTTCCAAGGAACAGACGACTCTCCTAACAACTGTTCAAAGTATGAGGAATAAGCTTCACCATATTTGCCTCCAAGGAGCACTCTGGCTGCATCTTTTAAAAGACATGTCTGTTTCTTCTTTTGGCAGTTCATGGGATATTTAGAACTCTTCTCTAACAACACAATTCAAAAGCATAAATTATTCTTCTGTCATCCTTATTCATCATACCTCATGCATCCAGCTCTCAGAGGCAAAGCAAGTGATTGGAAAGACCATTGCCTGAATCAGGAATACTTTAGCCTTAAAACTGACTTCATGGCTCCACAGAGATTTGAAGAAATCTTGAACAGCGGACTTGCCCAATGCAATATGTCTCCTGATCTTCTGACTGCTAGTGTCAAAGGTCTTAATGGCTAATCCAAGCAAGACGAATCATTGACAACACCAATTCTTTCTTCATCTTTCATGATGTTATCTATTGGCCCAGTTATGAGGACCTTGGTGTTCTTGATGAGATGAATTATATTGAAGGCTTTAGTCTTTGATCTTTGGAAGCAAGTGTTTAAAGTCCTCCTCACTTTCAGCAATCAAATTTGTGTTGTCTGTAGAAGCTGTTGAGGAGTCTTTCTCCAAACTTGATGCCACATTCATCTTTATAGAGTCCAGATTTTGAATTATTTGCTGAGTATACAGTTGGATACATCCCCAGGGCATAACTCTCCTGATTTTAAGTCATGTAGTGTTTCCTTGCTCTATTTGAACAACAGCTTCTTGGTTTAGACCGGCAGTTCCTCAGGAGGAATATTTGCAAGTTCTTCTCCATACAATTTGGAAACTCAGTGAAGAACCACTGAACAGGATTTGACTCAAAGCCAGTGAAATTTTAAGCAGCAAAAGCAGTTTGCAATATGTTGCTAACCTAAGGATTGGCTGTTTGACCCACGTGGAATAACCATGGGGGGAAAGCCCTTACATTTACTTTCATGAAGATTGTTGTGAGATATCTTGGGGTTTTTACTCCGATCAATCCCATAGATTACACTGTAGAATTCTTCCATATGTTTTCTTTCCTTTAATATTTATGTAAATTGTGTACCAGACCTCTATTATCCCAAGGAGCAGCTGAATTAATCCAAGCCATCACCCAAAACAAAACAAAAACATAAAATAAAACCCAAAATAAAATTTAAAACATCACCTATGAAACAAAATCACTTCTACTTTGTAACACTAGATTGGCTTGTATTTTATTTTACATTTAAAATAGAAAGAATTAAATTTCAATGAAGTAATAGTAGGCTCACATCTATTTTATGTATGAACTAAAAAAAAAAAAAACACAACAAAACCCCCAAACAAATAAACAAACAAACAAAAAACCTCTCATTGTTGTCAAATTAGAACTGATTTAAAGATGACCCTCCAATGAGTTTTCAACCACATAGGAGAAAATTGCCTATGATAGTCCAAAGAGTAGATGGTATATTTTTCAAAAAGAGTCAGCAATGCAACCATCTTATAGATTATACTATTCAAATTCCATATTTTATAGTTTCTAAATAGGGAGCTCTGGTGGCCTAGTAGTAAGAAATTGCACTGCAATCCCAAAGGCACGTGGTTTGAATCCAGCAGCTGCTCCATGGTGAAGAATGAACAACCTCCTCTATTGAGATTAACTGCCTCTGAAAACCTGCCAGAGGGTCAGCTGTCAGTCAGTTTGACTCCATGGTACACGACAACAAGGAATTTCTAAATGGAAAGTTTTTTTGTGGAAAGCATGAGTGTAATTTTGGAAATATACATATATTTATAATTTGATGACTAGATGATGTTCATTTACTTCCAGAAACATACTTTCCACTTTTTTGTTATCTGATACTTATGTATGTAGGTTGGTTGGATTGCCAAAAGAACAGATCTTCCAACCACCTACAAGTGATTTTAGATTTCCTTTGTCACCAATAGTCAGAAAGATGAATTTCAATCACTTTCTTGACTGATGATTAGATTATTGAGTCATTGGCAAAACTTTATGACTAAAAAAATATGAACTAACAAATTTAGATTAGTCGAAAAGGAGGTCAACTTTAAGAGTTATTTTTTAAGAGTTATTTTTAAAACTAACATCAAACCTGCAAATATCTTTAAGAGATTATGATGTTGTATTGTTTTCAGTGTACTTCCCATGATTTTAAAAACATACAAAGGTGGGAGGGGTGGAATAAAAGCCTTTCCTAATTTAAAAAATAGGCCAATGGTTTAAAACGACTGTTACATTTACAGGTAATACTCTATTTTAGAAAAAAATGGACAAAAGTTTGCAAATGTCCTGATAGCTAAGCTTAAAATAAACTGTATTACTGTGCTCACAGGTCATAAAATGAAAATGCAACATTAAATAAACATGAATAGCTCTCTGACAAGGCTGAGAATGTTAATAAACAGAGGTATTATGTCTCATCTATTGTCAAAATGCTATGATGTGTACTTTTTTTAAAAAAATTAAGTTAATTTTAATGAAAGTTTATAAAGACTTTGGATTTCCATTCATTTATTGTTGTACTTTTCTCCCTGCCCACCCCTCTCCCCTCAATTAGCTTTTCATTTCGAAAAGTAAAAGAAAAAATTCTTTCATTTTTATTCAATCCCTCCCTCCAAGTCTATTCCATTATGCTACCTTTGTTCTGGACTCCTGTCATAATAATAATATCTAATCATATATCCCTTTAAAACAGTTCTTTCCCTCATCTGTTTCAATGTACTAATACTTTTAAAGAAGTTGTGTATCATAGCTCTGCAAATATACTGAGGATGTTTTGTACTGTGTATATAATAATAAAAACAATTTTAAATGGCAAAATTTCCCCAAGGTCACCTTATGTAAAATGGTCTATTGACTATGTGCATATCATTTCATAATCACATTCTTGATTTAAAGATTCAATTACATTTCAAAAGACATAATAAATGAATATTAAATGATGATACTTTAAGTCTATTCACTGCTACTGAGTTGATTCCACCTCGTAACTACAGAACAACATAGACCTGTCCTGTGGAGTTACCAACATTGTGAGTTTTATAGAAGCAGACTGTCACATAATTGTCTCATAAAATAGCTGGTAGATTTCAAGTTTTTGGTGCTAGTGCTTCAAACTATGTGCCACCAGTGTCCATCAAGTCAGAACTAACTCATATCTTATGAGATATGAAAGTTGCATGGGAGAAGATTTCCCATCCTTCTCCCATGGGATGGTGGATGGATTTGAACCTTATGCCTTTGGGTTAGCAATGCAGTTTCTTACTACTAGGCCACCAGAGCTTTCTAAGCTCTTATGGCTACTTAATAATATTTTGCAGGCTTCTTTTTAAAAATGAAGATTAAATACTCTAAATAGTGGTTATATGGAGAAATATTTAATTTATTGAAGATAGATCTTATATGAAAATTCTGGTTTTATATAAATATTATTAGTTGCCTTAAAATCACAGGTGCTATATATATCTTGAATTGTTAAACTATAGTTTGCAGAAAGAATTGTTTTCCTCTTAGCAAGGTCAGACTGCAAAATGCTAATGAATTTCAGAAATAATTTTTTCTTTTTATCTGCATTTTGACAGAAGCAGTGTAATTTTCTAGTTTTCAGGATTCTACTTAAAATAGTACTGATATTATAGAAAATCCATCTGCAAAGAGAAAGTACTTTTTAGTGAGTAGGTCTTGCTTAAGGGCATGTTTCTATATTAAAAATGAAAACAGCAATGGTAAGGTTATGAATTTTCTGTAACACAGAATTTTAAATTATACTAAACTAATTGATCTCTATAGAAAATTTGTTAGGGATAGAAAATGTTGGATGAATACCAACTGCTGCTACATTAAGTGAATGACTTTCTTTATTTCACCTAATAAAATAAACTTTAAAGCACTACAGTAAAATCTCAACTACAGCCCGAAAGGACCAGAAGGCATGTAAGGAACTCCTAAGAAGTATTTCTAAGGAAATAATAGATTCACAGGAAGAATTCTAGTTCATTGTCAAATATAAATTTCCATTTCTGTTAGATATACCTATGCATGTAGGAGGATCTGGTTGCCAAAAGAATCGGTTATTCAACTGGACACAGGTGATTTTCGCTTGCCCTTGGAGCTGGTACCCAGGGTCACACTGGAATGTGATGGTGTCTCCCGGTTCCCTGCTGTCTCCATAACGAGTACCATTCTGTGGCATGCCTAGGTCATTGCACGTTGATGCAATTGTTGCTACAAAGAAAAACAAAATTCCAAATCAAATAGTCAGAAACACTGTTTCTAGACCCAAGTATGATTCTTCTTGAGGATATTAAAACACTGTATTAATTTTCATTAAGCATATAAAAACATTCATTTTCCCTCCTGAGATCTATGCCTTAGTGCTTATATTAATACTCCTTACTTGGACAAATTTTAGCAAATTTCTTTCTCAAGAATGCCAACAATTACACATCAAGGAATTTCATAGTACTCTATTTACTGCATATATATATACACACATAAATATATTTACACATATTACTCTCTTCTCTTTTCTCAATATCTTAAATAAAAATATGTACCACAAGTTAAATAAATAAAGTGTATAATTCTCATGAAACCTGGAGTAACAGATCAGGAAGAGTGACTTTAATGCCTATGTCTGCAAATGACAACAGCCTGGCCAAATAATAACCTGACCAAATAATTGTTACTGAAGTTCTAGTTAAGGAGTCCACTACATAAAGAGCTGTGCTGCTAATCCAAAGGCAAGTGATTCTAACCCACCAACTAAAGGATCAACTACGAGTTGGTTCTGACTCTACAGTAATGAGATTTTGGTTTTTTGAGTAAAACTGAACTAGAGAAGAAATTACCGGTCCATTTTAGTCAGATTTTAATAGGACCCATTGTTATTGTTGTTGTTGTTGCTGCTATGTGCCGTGGAGTCGCTTGCGACTAATAGCAACCCCGATGTACAACAGCCCTAAACTCTGCTCTGTCCTGTGCCAATCGCACCGTCT